GTCTTGGTGGTTGATCCTGTTCCAGTGGTTTCAGATGTGGTAGCTGTCACTGGGCTTGTTGACACTGGTGATGTTGACTGTTGACTAGTGGTGCTTGCAATAGACACGGTACTTATTTCTGTCGTTCTTGTTGTTGGCAGTGGGGTAACTGAAGGAGTAACTGGAATGCTTGTTGTTGTCGGCATCTCTGGTTCAGGTGTCTCTTTAAGATAGGAAGAAAACAGAGTATTTTAAGTTGTGAAATTGCATTTTCTTCCTAATGCCATCTCATTTTCCACTAAGCATACATAATTCATCAAGCCTATTCATAGAGTCTTTAGACAGAAATAAAGCAGAAATTTTTTTATTAACGGTTTTGCATCACTGAGGGATTATTAACAAAATATCCTGCCTCTTGCGTAGGAGACATTGATATAAACACTTTATCAACAATCAGTGTCAGAGGGAACATCTTCCGCAGTGTTAAAACTTTATATTGCATGGAAGAGTCCAGCAGTCCAAGATCCCAGGGGACTCCACTGATCAATGAACTCTGGTTAATACTGTATTGCTGTCATACTATATTCTATGGAAAGACCGTTATTCCCTATGTTGCTTCATGAGGCACATTCATATCACTATTGATTATGGTCAGAGTAATTTGACTCTACAGAAACTGAGCCGTTGGTGGAGTAGTCTGTGTTCCATTTCTAATGCCAATGCCTTTAAGACTTCTCACACACAAGCTATTTTGGGATGCTACAAACCCAAAATACAGTTTTTTGCTTTTTCACATGGCCAGTTTTCATTATGGTTGTTAATGGAAACTCCTTTAAAGTAGTTTTTGATTAGGATGTTAAAAAGTGTTCATGACTCTCACAGACCAGTCTCAGAGCCATCTATTTGTGCTTTCATAACATAAGTGACACATGGTAGAGAGAGAAGCACTGTGTACACAATAAGAGTGCAGCAATAATGCTAGAGGAATTAAGATACACTGGTTCTGCCCAGGCAGCCCACAAGGACGGTCCTTCAATGAAAACTGATTTACATATGGGTGAGAACAGGCAAACTTCTTCATGCCCTTTAACAGAGGCAGATGAACTGGGACAGCAGGGGATATAACATTGCTGCTGAAAGGTTAGCTGGGATGTTTTTGAAATATAATCAACTACATTAGTGCAGAGTTTAGAAACTAAAACACATGTTAAGCTGCCAATAAACCCTGTTTTCTAAAATCAGCAACGAACACGAAACCCTGGAAATTACTTATTGCTTCAGTGGGTGGAGCCGACGGGTTAGGGGTTCTGGTGCTAATATTTTCAGGAGTTGTGGTGGTAGTTGGAACAGTGGTTGTGGTGCTTGGAGGGCTGGTGGTGGTGGTGAGAGTCTCCGGTGTCGAGGGAGAGGTTGTCGATTGTGGTGTGCTTGGTGTGGGTGGAGGTGTGCCTGTTAGAAACAGCAAGGACAGAGAAAACAGACAAAGACACAAAGGCATCAGTGGGACTCAATGTCAACTCAACAGAAGCTGCACATGAGGCAGCAGCCACAGAGCTAGAGAGATCAGACAACCCTAGCACCAGTTCTTCCTTTCTGGCCCCCAAAAGCACGATATTTGAAAT